GTTTAATGATATTATATAGGGTTACCCATATTCGGCGGACCCATGACTCTTTGGGCCCATTCCAATCGACGAGGCTTGTCCGCAGGCAACATTCTTTGCGTCAATTGAATTTTGTACGGGAACAAATGCAAATCAATGCGAATAATCCGTTGTAAAGTGGACCGAGCCATCCCAAACTGCTGAGAACGGCGTTTTTGGGATGTTCTTGGGGACCTCTCAACACTGGCTCGTACGGCAGCGATATTCTTGGCCGATCGCCTTGGTCGACTTTTATATGGCCTCTTCGGATTAGAAAGAGCCTTACTAGTCGAACATTTTTCGTATAAACGCTTAATGGTGTTCTTTTTAATGTTTTAAAAGCACGTTGAGTTTTCACAATTGACTTCTTCTGTTGAATGTAAATTTCAACTATTTCGCGTGGCGTGTATTGGTTCATGGTAAAAATCTGCTTGGACTGACGCTTCAAACGCGGTATGTCATTAAGCGATGTGACATCTCTGTCAAAATTTTGGCGTTGCCAGATGGGTCCGTCGAATATGGACAACCCTGTAGTATAAAATCAGGTCATTTACAGGGTTAGACAAAAAAAACTGCAAAAAGGTCAAACACCATAATTTTTGCACTTTTTTTAATTTAACGAATGAAAGCAAATAGTATCAAATTTTAGAATAAGTTTAGATTTGTTCGAATTAGTCACCTTTGACACTAATTATGACCTTCAAACGGCCAATGAAACCGTCACACGCTGTCCGAAAGTTTCTCTGCGGCATTTTGACCCATTCCCGGCGAAGCGCTTGCTTAAGGTGATCGACACTTTGGTATTTTTTAGTCCAACGGATTGGTATCCGGAGATTTCGGTGGCCATTGTGAGATGGAAATGAAGGGAGGATCTTTATTTTGTAACGATTCTTGTGTGGCGCGTGCTGAGTGCGATGGTGCTGAGTCGTGTTGGAATGTCCAAGGCCTGCGGCCAAAATGTTTGCGTGCCAAAGGCTTTAATACATCCTCCAGAATATTTTTGCGATAATATTCGGCATTTATTCTGATGCCACGGTCGATTATTACGAGCGGCTGTTATGGCGGCCCGCACCATCATCATGGCTGACGCTTGAGTTCTGGTGGCCAACCGAAGGTGCACATTTTCAGCTGACCTCTTTGGCAAGTAAACACGATCATTTTTATACTAAAAATAGTATGGAGGGTATATTAAGTTCGTCATTCCGTTTGTAACTCATCGAAATAATCATTTCAGACCCAACAAAGTATATATATTCTTGATCAGCGTAAAATTCTAAGACGATTTAGCCCCGTCCGTCCGTCTGTCCGTCTGTTGTAATCACGCTACAGTCTAAACAAATTAAAATACGAAGATAAAATTTTGTGCAGATCTCTCTTTTGTCTGCAGGCAGGTCAGGTTCGAAGATGGGCTATATCGGTCCACATTTTTCAATAGAATTGTCTTAAAATCCACACAAGTAGTTCCTTGTGGGTACTATATACCTCGGCAGAGAATTATCTATATAGGTCCACAATATCGTATAGTCCCCATATAACGGTACCCCCACGGTATTAGGTATTTTGATGATTTTAGCCACATTTTTTAATGGAATTGTTTGAAACAAAAGGAGTCCCTTGTGGGCATTTTACCCCCTCAAAAAGAATTGTCTATATAGGTCCACGATATCGTATATCCCCCATATAACTGTACCCCCCGATATTCGGTATTTTGATGATGTTAGCCACACTTTTCAATGGAAATGTCTTAAAATCCACACAAATAGTTCCTTGTGAGTATTTTATCCCCTGAGAGAGAATTGTCTATACAGGTCCACGATATCGTATATCCCCCATATAACTGTACCCCCCGATATTGGGTACTTTGATGATGTTAGCCACATTTTTCAATAGAATTGTCTTAAAATCCACACAAGTAGTTCCTTGTGGGTACTTTATACCTCGGCAGAGAATTATCTATATGGGTCCACAATATCGTATATCCCGCATATAACGGTACCCCCCGATATCCGGTATTTTGATGATTTTACCCACATTTTTCAACGGAATTGTCTGAAAATCCACACAAGGAGTTCCTTGTGGGTACTTTATACCTCCGCAGAAAATTATCTATATAGGTCTACGATATCGTATAGCCCTCATATAACGGTACCCCCGATATTCGGTATTTTGTTGTTTTTAGCCACATTTTCGTATTGTCTCAAAATCCACACACGGAGTTCTTTGTGATCACTTTACCCCTGAAATGGAATTGTCTATAGGTCCACAATCTCGTATATCCCCCATATAACGATACCCCCCGATATTCAGTAGTTTGATGATTTTAGCCATTTTTCCAATGGAATTGTCTGAAAATCCACACAAGGAGTTCCTTGTGAGTACTTTACATCCAGACATAGATTTGTCTTAATAGGTCCACAATATCATATATACCCCGTTCCTATATTAGATATTGTAAAGATTTAAAATAAAATTCAAGGGATTTTATTTTTTTGAAAATTTTTCTAATTCGTTCCAAACTGCTTTTTTAATTTGTTTTGTTTACAAAACTACTGAACAACGAATTTTTTCTCAATTTGGTTTTAAAATGTTTGCCAAAAAAATCGAAGTTCAGACAGTATTTTAGTTTTACAAAAATATAAAATGAGAAATATTATCTATATATATAAATGAAAGTTGTGTTAGTTACTACGCGTATAACTTAAGAACCGCTGAACTGATTTTAATGATTCATACAAATTCGGAATTGTCTCTTATCCGAAAAGGATAATATCCAAAAAAATCGCGTAAAAATGTGATATGTTAACATTTTCATTTTGACTTTTGAAATGTACAATAGTAATGTTTTATTTTGCATGATTTTTTCCATTTTGACTTACTTTTTTCTAATGTACATTTGTAGTGTTTTTTATATTTTATTTTTGAATTCGAATATTAATATCAATTTATTTAATTGCCTTGATTTCTTGAGAACTGAAATTGATAACGGGTTACATGGAAGTGTAGTACCGAATTATGTGGTGGCGAAACGGAATAGATGATACCGAAATAATTTAATGCGGTCACACCAAAGTTAAAAGATAAGTACTTTTTCAAAATCGTTAAAAAAATGACGAAAAAAGAGATCTCATTGCAACAAATCTCAAAACGGGAAAATATCGAAAAAAATTTCCAATGGAATTGAATTTTAAAATAAAAGTACATTCTATTGACAAACTTTGTAAGGATCTTTAAACAGTTGCTGTAAAAAATCAGCGAACAAGTTAAAGATTTTTTCAATTTTTTATTCTTCTTTTGTCAATTTTTTTCAATTTGTAATATCATATTGAATTCAGTGGATTTTTTGTGAACAAAATAAAGAATAATTTTTCACTATATACAATTTTTCACCAAAAAAATGAAATAAGTGCGAAATACGATGGTAACTGACATCTACCTTTCAACTCCAGGGCCTACATCGTGCTTCAGCTGGAAGATGCGTAGACATTTAAACAAACAAAAATGACCGAAAAAGACTAATGGGGCTTATTTCAAAGCGTGGCCCTACTTCTTTCATGTGACAATAATCCGTCCAATGAGAGCTCAAAATGCAAAAAATTTTGGGAGTACAATCAGTAAAATACCAAATATAAAGGGTGCAAAATAGTAGAGCGAATGGGACTTTTAGTAAGAAAAGGATTTCTATCTTTCCAAAAATTCTGCCTGAACATTTAAGATACCTTAAATCGCTTTAGCAGGTCATGATATCGATCATAAATAATCATCGTATGATTTAAGCCATTTTTGGAGTCTTCGCCATTTTCTTCTATTTTTGGCCCTTATTTGGCATCTTTGTTTCTAAGGGGGGTAGAGAACCTCTTCGCATAAAATTTTCGGAGTAGGGCCCATATTGGTCTTGACCACTAAAAAATTTTATTTATGCTACCCTGGGGTAAGGAACCATCGTACAGATAATTGCCACATAGAAATTTATTCATGTAAAGTCCCCACATTGGAGTATCCCCAAGTCCACTTTCACATCTAATGTGTGGTCAGAAAAGAAAAATTTGTATTCTATTGAATTTGTAACCCCCAAGAGAATATTGGTTGGGAACGTAGATTTGGGATATACATCTATATGAAATAAATTGTGAAAACATGAACAAATTACAAATATAAGAAAGTAGCACGGGACCGAATATTTGTTGAATCGTCATTAAATTATACTATGATGAAAAATATGGACTCCAACTTACAATTTAAATGGCAAATAAAATTAATTCCCATCTTACGGTAATGGATGTAAAATAGCTATATTTTTGATTTGGCCTCTATTTGTCATCTTGGATTATAAGGGGTGAAGAAAGTTTTCAATGTAGGTCGATGTTTCGCATTTTACCATATTTCAAAGGATTTGGCTAAAAATGAGTATTTGGGGATGAAAATCTTACACAAAAATTTCAACATATCTACAAATTTTAGGATTTTCTCCATGTAATAGTATCCCCTCAAGTCCACCTTTTGGCGGACAAACAGACCGACATGGTTAGGGGGACTTATGAGGACTCTAATGCACAATCTGAGGTGCTAATGGGTTCAAAAAAGTAATTAACTTTGCCTATTCTTAAATCAATTAGCCCTCAATTACGAGTTGTACAAAGTACAGTAAATTCCAAATTACTGCTCATTTGACTAAAAATTAAAAACTAATCGACCAGTACGTGAACATTTATAACATTCATATCTTTGAATAATCATGCTTTGACAAATATGCATAATAGACAAAAACTATGGGCCGGCAACGCGGACCGGGCCAGCTAGTTATATATATTTTTATTAGGAAAATATTTTCCATTTATTTTTTACTTTTTAAAAACCAATTATTCCAAATATGCCTCAGTTGTGCTTTGTTCTCTCCCTCCCAGCATCATTTCAGTTTATTTCAAAAATACTATTATTTTTTTATTAAATTTCAATTTTAAATATATTTCGATTTTTAATTTCAGGTTGGTGCTTATTGCTATGCGGAATTGGGCACAATGATTACAAAGTCCGGCGCTGATTATGCCTATATCATGGAAACGTTTGGTCCATTTATGGCTTTCATACGTTTGTGGATTGAGTGTATGATTGTGCGGCCGTGCTCACAGGCAATTGTGGCGCTCACATTCAGTGTGTATGTGCTGAAACCATTCTTCCCGGAATGTACACCGCCCGAAGATGCAGCCCGACTGTTAGCTGTGTGTTGTATATGTAAGTTCTGATGTGTTTTTTTAAATAATTAATAAAAAATCATTTTAATGCGATGAGATTTGCTGGAGTTAATAATTTAAAAAAAAATAATAATATTAATTGATATTGACCCATGCATTACTAAATCAACCCATTACGTTTACTTGTTTATTTGCTTTAAATCACAAAGAATAAATAATTATGATGGCATGGAAACTCAGAAATGACTGTCGTAGTGTGATGTTAGCTCTTCTAACGAATGTAATTTTTGAAAATATTACATCATACAATTACTCTACAAACATATTAACACACATAAATAAAATAATTCTACTGTAAATAGAAATCGTTACTTTAAAAAAATATCATTCTAGAAACAGAAGACTATCCCTGTTTTCCTTATTGGAAATCCTTCCGCACTCATAAATTTAAATAAAATCCATTTAAACGAGCATTTTTATTTCTTAAGCCAACTAATGTCACTCTTTTCGCATTTTAGGTATCCTGACATTTGTCAACTGTTGGGACGTTAAATGGGCGACTGCTGTGCAGGATATTTTCACATATGCCAAAGTAAGTTAAACTGGATTCAACTGACCAACATCTTTCCCGGACACAAAGATAATGCCATAAACTGATTTGTCTCTATTTTATCTCCATTTATTAGCTGTTGGCCTTGTTTATTATCATTGCATCGGGCATTTACCAACTCTACTTGGGCCATACGGAATATTTTACATTTGAAAATACGGATACACGAGTCACGTCACTGGCGCTTTCGTTTTACTCAGGATTATTTGCCTACAATGGATGGTGAGTTAAGGGATAGGGTAGGATGAGAGGGAAATGGGCGAAATGGTAAATGAGAATATATTGCGTACGCATCTTTGACCCAGGATCTAGGATGTTATTGAAGGTTGCGTAATGCCACCACTTGTTGCTTGGCATTCTGTTTTCTTTTTTCGTTTCCTTGCAATTGGAAGTCATGAAATAGTCTTCTTATAAAAAAAATAGGATTTTGTGATTTTATTATTTTTGTGTGGTCCCTTATTACATGGCAAGCGATTGGAAAATAAAGAAGAAGACATGCAACTGGCAGTTGAAGTTAATTTAATTACGCTGATAATTGAATGATGCTGTCAGAGTAGTACATGATATTAAATAATAGCTAATCATGTTATTTTAAGATCTAAAAAAATACTTTGGATGCTTTGGCTATTATTCTTATTAAAATTTAATTTATATTTAAAGAAAATCTGCTTCAGGTCTTCTATGGATAGAAGGCTTTCTTCAGGTCTTCTATGGATAGAAGGCTTTCTTCAGGTTTTCTATGGATAGAAGACCTTCTTCAGGTCTTCTATGGATAGAAGGCTTTCTTCAGGTCTTCTATGGATAGAAGACCTTCTATGGATGGAAGACCTTCTTGAGGTCTTCTATGGATAGAAGACCTTCTTCAGGTCTTCTATGGATAAAAGATTTTCTTCAGGTCTTCTATGGATAGAAGTACTTCTTCAGGTTTTCTATGGATAGAAGACCTTCTTCAGGTCTTTTATGGATAGAAAACCTTGTTCAGGTCATCTATGGATAGAAGACCTTCTTCAGGTTTTCTATGGATAGAAGACCTTCTTCAGGTCTTCTGTGGACAGAAGACATTCTTTAGGACTTCTATGGATGGAAGACCTTCTTCAGGTCTTCTATGGATGGAAGACCTTCTTCAGGTTTTCTATGGATGGAAGACCTTCTTCAGGTCATCTATGGATAGAAGGTCTTCTTCAGGTCTTCCATGGATAGCAGACTTTCTTCTGGTCTTCTTTGGATAGCAGACCTTCTTCAGGTTTCCTATGGATAGCAGACCTTCTTCAGGTCTTCTATGGATAGCAGACCTTCTTCAGGTCTTCTATGGATAGAAGGTCTTCTTCAAGTCTTCTATGGATAAAAGACCTTCTTCAGGTTTTCTATGGATAGCAGACCTTCTTCAGATCTTCTATGAATAGAAGACCATTTTCGGGTCTCCTATGGATAAACAACCACTGTCAGATCTCTTATGCATAAAATTCTTATCGATGGAAGATCTCCTATCAATAGAAGACCTTTTTGAGATCTAATATGAATAGAAGATATTCTCCAGCTCTTCTATTTCGGAATGAAGACTGTATTCAAATTTTCTACGAATACTAGATCTACTTCAGGTTTTCTAGGGATACAAGACCTATTTCAGGTCTTCTTGAATGGAATTTTTAAGTCTCCCACCGTTGGAACACCTTCTACAATTTTGAAGTCAGAGTTATATATTTGAAAACCTCATTTTTTAAAAAATGTAGTCTTCGAATTTTCACTTATACTTCAAATCGTTTTATCCTTCCTATCTTCTTCCAGGAACTACCTTAATTTCATCATTGAAGAATTGAAAGATCCCGTTAAGAATTTGCCTCGTGCCATTGCTATTTCCTGTGTATTGGTAACACTAGTTTATGTCTTGGCCAATGTTTCGTTCTACACCATTTTGTCACCCGATGAAGTTTTGGGATCTCAAGCTGTTGCCGTAACCTATGCCGAAAGAGCTTTTGGTGTTATTGCATGGACCATTCCAGGTAAATGACAAAAGATTGTTTAGTTTTTGAATAGGTCTCACTACTTAACATTTCCCTTTTTGCAGTGTTTGTGGCTCTTTCAACATTCGGTGCTGTAAATGGTATTCTCTTGACCTCATCCCGTTTGTTCTATGCCGGTGCCAATGAGGGTCAAATGCCTGAAATTTTAACTATGATCCAGATACAGAGATTTACACCCACCCCTGCTGTCCTGGCCATGGCTTTGTTGTCGATGTTATATTTGACAGTTTCGGATATCTTTGCCCTTATCAACTATGTGGGCTTTGCAACATGGGTAAGTTCCTGAAACTTTTGTATAAAAGTATTTTTTGATTCATTCTTTTTTCAATATCCCACAGTTAAGTATTGGTGTTGCCGTTCTGTGCTTGCCTTGGTTACGTTGGGCCCAACCCAATTTGCCCCGTCCCATCCGTGTCCCCTTAGTCTTCCCCATCGTTTATTTGTTGGCCACAGTTTTTGTCACCGTCGTACCCATGTATGCCAGTCCTGTTGAGACCGGCTATGGCATTCTCATGATCATGTCCAGTATACCCGTTTATTTGGTATTTATTGCGTGGAAAAACAAACCAATGTGGTTCCAAAAGACTATGGGTAAGTCGGATTTTTTATTTAAATAATAAATACAAATTTTATTAAAATATATTCCATGTTTAAATTCAAATATCAACTCATTCGCTCATTGGGCTTTTTTATCCTAAGACGAAGAAGAAGACGGGAATAAAATAAATATTTATTCCCATTATTTTTATTTCCAAATCCTAATGTCCATTTTAATTTTTATAGGTGGATTTACCCAAGCATTACAGAAAATGATGATGGTTGTTCGACCAAAAAGTTCCTCAAAGGTTTTTATTTTTTTTATTAATTTCTTTCTTTTTTGGTTTTGGTTATTTTTCCTTGTGAAATCTTTATGTTTTATCTGTTTTCCCCGTTTTCATTGCATGCCTTCTCCATCCTGTTTTTCTATGCACAATCCTTTTTTGTTAAATATTGTTTTTCTTTGCACAAAATTTGTCCACAACATGTAGTTTTAGGATCACAAATATAGTATTTAGATAATGCTGAATGGAAATTTTTCTTCTGAAAATTCTCAGAGTTACAAAATGGAAAATGTTAATATTATGTTTGTTCTTACTTTAAATAAGAAGACATTTTGGTCTTCGATTATATTCGATTGTCTTCTATCAGAAGACCTTCTTGTCTTCCATGAGAAGACCTTCTTGTTTTCTATAAAAAGACCTTATTGTCTTCTATAAGAATACCTTTTCTATTCGAATACCTTTTATATTTCTATAAGAAGACATTTTGATCTTCAATTGGAAGACCTTGTGGTAATTCATGAGAAGACCTTGTGGTCTTCTATGAGAATAAGTAGACCTTGCGGTCATATATAAGAAGACTTTCTCGTCTTCAAAAAGAAGAACTTCTGGTTTCTTAAAAAAAACTTGAAATATTCCAAGACGTGCTGAGTTTTTTTATAATAATACCCCTAGTTCTTCTATAAGACAACCTTCTAGTCTTCTATGAGTTTTTTTGTTTTCATTGTAAAAATACATTAAGTTCTTCCCCAGAGGACTTTTTTCTATTCGCCTATAACAATTTTTGCTGTTTTAAAGAAGACCTGGCTCATTGTAAAAGCAGACATTTTAATACAATATAAAACATTCTAATATAATATATTTGTGACTCTGAGAATTTCCAATATTTTTTTTTGTTGTATATATTTCTAAATTAAAATTTATTTCAAATTGGTCTAAATTTTTCAAAAACTAGTAAACAATCTTTAACATTTCTACTAACCGGAATGGTGCATGGCGATAGAACTAATACTAATTTAAAAAATAGGAATGCATTAAATAATTTCTTATTAACATTTTATTCCTTATTCTCTCCCTCTAATTTACAGTAAGTCTAACAAGGTTTCTGCAGAAAGTTCTCATGGTCCTTGGAAAGACTAAACCAGCTCAGGTGTAAAACAAAATAGAATTTGGCAAATGAAATGATGAACCGGCAACCCCCCTTAGATACAGTGAGAGACATATGGATGCAAAACAAACAAGCAAATACAATAATAACGAGAAAAGCTGCTTTCAAACCGAAACAAAAACACAAAATGGCATTTACATATAGTTTTTTATGTTTATAAAAAAAATCTAAGGCTTTTATTATGAGTTTTTTATTTAATTTTATAATTTCTTTTTACAAGAGGATTTATTTTTCATTAAAGAAAATCAATAATATGTGATTTTGATTTAATAACAAATCGTAAAAATCGTGGAAAACGAGAAATTATTTTGTGTTACCCCAATAGAATGACATTACTTTTTATATAAAGAAATGCTTTTTTAATTATAGTTTTAAAAGTTAAGTTAAACAAATAGATTATGTTTAAATAAAATAAGAAGGACATCTCGAATGATATATTTTTTGTAAAGAAATGTTTAGCTATATTCCATGAAAGTATGAAAGCTGAACTTAACTGCCATTAGAAGAGAATACAACTCCTACTTAACAAAAACACATAACTTTTTATGAGAAATAGAACTAGCAAAGGATTTGTCTGATAACAACATAAATACACACCCATACCTGTTAATGGACCACATAAATTAAAATGTGCCCCTAATCCATCCCGCTCGAGTATTAACCAAAACCCAACATCATTTGAACATCACAAAACATATCCTCAAATAACCACAGATACCTTGAAATTTGCTACTCCCAGATAAATTGTAGAAGAGAGAATGTTTTTGTTATGAATATATGTTACAAAAAAAAACAAAAATACAAAAAATACAAACAGCAATAATTACATACATAACATAAATGTTTATTTATTAAAATGTTACAAATATTTGTTTAAAGTTTAAAAAGAAAGCAAGAGAAAGGCAAATAAAACACACAATATATTGAGAGGATGCTACATTTATGTGGAGAGGTATTTGAGGTGATTCTTCCTTCTAAAACTAACTTTTCTGAAATTTTATTCATTTGATTTTTTCCGAAGAGGATTCTGGCTCCATATTATATTTAAAATAAAACTGGCGATTGAAAGCATTGAAATTTATAACTATTTTAATCAAATACAAAATTTAACTTAACATTTTATGAAGATAATTATCGAGATTTTTAGGGCTATCAATGATTTTAAAACGTAGAGTCTATTTTCAAATGTTAAAGCTGATATGCATATAGATAATTTATATATGAAGCATAATAATCTTACTATCGTGCATGTCATTGGAACGGAATGATACCTATAATGTCCATATCTGCTTAGTAGGTCAGGGTGTAACCCGGGTCATGGACCCAGACTTTTGGGTCAAATATCCGGGTATCCAGGTCCGTCCCCCAAGAAAAATACAAAGACATAGAAGTATAAAGATGGGACAAGACAGAGTCAAAATATGGCAACCCTGTGAAAATACCTCTGTTGTTATGATATCATAGTTACCAATGTTAACTGATGTAAACCGCTAAGGGAATATACAAATTTTTGAATTTTGGACATTTTTGGATTTTTCAAACTTTGCTAAAAATGCATTTTGTCTAGTTTTTACAATTTTAGGTCTTTGAAAAATATACTTTTCAGGAATCAGGGTGAAAATTCCTACCACTGGAACAAAAATTTAAAAAAACCCGAGAGTTTTTACTGAACTAGAGTCCTTCCGTTAGGGCTTCATTTAATAACATGAACAAGTACAAAAAAGTCAAAACAAACCAATTAGGCAAAGGCTATAGACGTGCGGGGCCGACCATGAGATGCCCTACAATACGTTAGAAGCCCCCTTATGTCCAAATCCATTTTCGAAGTTTTTGCTCTCGAAATTATGTGACGGAGCACTGCCTAGGACATTTGCCGGGGACATTTGCCCAATATTTACGCACTCCTCCGCGCTGTTAGTTGTTGTGGTCCATTTTACAGTTAAATATTATCCAATGGTAATCCAAAATGTTAGAATTCTTCCCTGTAATGTTGGTATTTTTTCACTCAAAAGTAGAGGTCCATTCTACTCGCTGCCCTAAACTCTAACTTCATAAGAGATTTCGTGTCCTGTGGTTTCTATTTAAGACCTTTATAACGGTTTCAAATTCAGGAACAGTTTTAGTTGTTGGTCCATTTCAACCCGGACATCTTTAAAAGCAATAGGAGTGGTACTTCTGAGCCTAACCCTACCCTTGTGAACATTTTCGTGAGGATCGGATGATAATTGCAATCTAAATATAATAACCCCAATCTGTGTTGTAAGGTAAAAAAATATTACAAAATATACACCTCAATGGTATAAGCCAAATTGAAAAAATCGCATGCGATGAAAAATATGGAAATATAAAAAATGTCAATGTATTGGCATGTATTATGAGATTTTTTTTAGAATTTATACTTTTATGCCAAGAGTGCATTCTAAATTGACAAAATTTGTCAAAATCAATCTAGCCATTCTTGAGATATAGGCATTCTAGCTAACATTCTCTTCCTTTGAATATATATATATATATATATATATATATATATATATATATATATATATATATATATATATATATATATATATATATATATATATATATATCCGATATATTTTTTATCGGCATCTACGTAACGGTGATCATTTACCTTTTCGTCTATTTCTGATTTCGCCCGGATTAAAAATATTCGCAGTTTAATGGAAAATTTGACTTTTATTTAACACAAATGTTGTGGTCTATTTAACCAACTGAATATTACCAGAAGACCTCAAAATTGGAAGGCTTCTGACCACCCCTAAGCTCTAACCCCATGCTAACTTCCGCTTCGTTTGGTCCACAATTGCGACCTGCAGAGCAACTGCAAAATCAGGAAATGTTTTTAAAGGACATTTTTTTTTATCCGATCATCTCCAAAAGCAATAGGCTTCTATTCTGGCTCTAGCCCCAACTCCATTCTAAATTTCGGAATTTATCGATCAGGCCATAATTGCGACCTGTTGCGTGATTACAAATTAACATGAACAGACGGACAGTCGGACGGACGGACATACATAGCTAGATCGACTCAGCTCGCCGAGATTAAAGATCCATATATACTTTCCTATGTGGGAAACGAATATTTCGAGACGTTACATAATTTTTGGCCCAATCAAACTTATAATACCCCCAACACATAGTATTTTAGGGTATAAAAATAACAGAAATCCGGTGTTAAAAATAGAAGTTATGCCATTTTAAAGTTGAAAATTCAAGAAGCTCGTATTTTTCTATATTTACTGATTGCGGACATCTTTGTTTACAAACTGTTTTTTCATCGGAAAAAAACCATTTTTTTTTCTTTCTGTTGCGGTGTAAGTTCTTGCACTTTTTGGAATTTCAATGGCTTTACCCCGAGCTTATTTTTCAATATTTGGTGAATGGAATATTGCGGCATGTTCAGCTCACGAGCCACTTTTCGGTCACTGCGACGCGGGTTTCGATCATGTCGATTCTTTACTTTTCGCACCATTTCTGCTGATGTTCCTGTTTTCCTCCTCCACTTCCTTGACGTCGGGCTACGCTACCAGCATCACGGTAACGAGCGATAGTACGAGACACAAAAGATTTATTCACATTTGAATGCTGGAGTGCGCTAACGATAGCCACTTGTGGTTTTCCAGCCAAATATAAAGAAATGACACTATCACGCTTGGAGTCCATCACGAATAACTTTTTTTTTTTGGAAAATTCTCACCAAAATGCTTTTGTACGCTTTTTGTAAACAATATAATGAGCTGTCACTGAAATAATTTTAATAGCTGTCGGACGAGTGGCTTGGAAATGACAGCAATCTGAAGTTTGTTGAAGTTTTTTCATCTCACCCTGTAAATGTGTTACGAGAATCTACTCTGCTAAATGTCAAGAATGGTGTAGGATATCATACGGTCGGTCCATCCGACCTTTGTTTTTTCCTTCCTGGTCTTGGCTACCTTGAATATTATAATATTATTATTGATTCCAGTACCTACAAGAACCTACTGTTTTTGCAAATTTCTTCGATATCATAAAGGGAAATCTTTTATCGTAGTAAAAACTTTTACATTATTGCAGTTCTGGAACAGAGAGAATTTTATCATTTTTTAATCGGTGTTAGTTTGCGAGTCTACATCGTCTTCCGCACGACTTGACTTGTATCACCTCAAATTACCTCTCTACATAAAACATGTAAATCATGTATCTAACCATAAAAGAAAACGTTTAACAATTACGAGTAAAATTTATTTTGCATAATATATGTATGTATAATTAAATTTATATATAAATGTTTGCATCAAATACATATAACAAAACAAACAAAAAACAAACTGAACCTTTTTCTAAAATTTAAAATTTTACCATAAAATTCGGTTTCTTTTTTGACTGGATTTTATCTAAAGACTTCTCCAAAATAACAAACAAAACTGTAACCAACTTCTATTTGATGATTGTATTACAAATAAATACATTAACTAAAATATACAACTATCGCATGTCATTGTTGATTAAATGGCATAATTTGTTGACAATAAATGAAATATAATTACTATATAACAATTATAAATTAAAAACGGCAAAAATTATATAAATAACTATTAACTAAACTATATATATAATAGCTATTGTATTATATATTGACAAAATAAAATAGTAAATTAATATTTAAAAAAAAAAACTATTAAACATACATAGCCAGTTACTGAATGAAAAAATATGAATGAATTTATACAATCTTTGGTCCACAATGAATATGATGTAGGAAATTGAAATCGAAAGCTGATATAAGGAATTCGTTGAAGTTTCATGCGTTAAGTACAACTGATTTTCAGAAAATACTTTTTTAATGGAGTCTTTTCTATCCATAGTAATCGTTTAATTTTCTAAACAAATTCAATGAAATTGTTTTTTTTTTATTCTCAAGCAGGACATAACTTTTTCTATAGAATGTTTACGTATAAAAAAAAACAAAACAAAAATAAATGTATGAATTATAAATATTACTAAATATTATGTAAAATGCATTCTAGGTTTTGTTTAATATATGATTCAGCAATTTATAGATGTATTAATTTTATCATCGAGCATAAATAAATAAAAAATCAAAAGAGGTGTATATAAGCCATGTGTATTGTTGTTTTATTTAAGGGATAATTACGGGGAAAATCCAGCAGATTATGAAATTATAACTAAAACACCTTTTGATAAAGAAAACATTTTTATATGAAAGTATCTGAATTCAAACGTGTTCCACTTTAAACTACAAATACCAGTAAGACCGTTTGAATAATACAAAAAACCATAAAGTATATGAAGGCCATACCAAAACGGGAACCTCTATAAACAATTTTATAATTCTAGGATTGTCAAATCTTCTTAGATACCAAATTTTAAAACAATTTCGTGGGTAAATGTGACTAGGATTATAAAAATACCGAATGTCGGAGGGTATCGTTATATGTACGCTATACCAAATCGTAAACGTATATATACTAAGTTCTGCCACCGGAGCTAGAAACCATTACGAACTACAAATACAAATTTTTAGACAAATCCGTGGAATAGTGTGGCAAAAATCATTATGACACCGAATATCGGGAGGTACCGTATTATGACGGCTATACCAAAATGTAGACCGATATATCTCATTTCAAATACCAACCATCCAAGACACAATACAAATTGTTTTGCCAAGTTTTGAAGCTCTACGTCAAATAATGTGGGCTGTATCGTAATTTCAACAGACGGATATCGTCCTTAGAATTTTATGCTGATCATGAATATACAGGGTGAGATGAAACAACTGCAACAAACTTCCGACTGCTGTCAGTTCCAAGCCACTCGTCCGACAGCTGTTAAAATTATTCCAGTGACAGCTCATTATATTGATTACAAGCGTACAAAAGCATTTTGGTGAGAATTTTGCAGTAAAAAAGTTATTCGTGATGGAATTCAAGCGTGAAAGTGTGATTTCTTTATATTTGGCTGGAAAACCGCAAGTGGCGATCCTTAGAGCACTCTAGCATTTAAATGTGAATAAATCTTTTGTGTCTCGAAGCATCGCTTGTTACCGTTATACTGATAGCGTAACCAGGCGTCAAGGAAGTGGACCGAAGAAAACAGCAACATCAGTAGAAATGGTTCGAAAAGTAAAGAAGCGACTTGATCGAAACTCGCGTCGCAGTGGCCGCAAAATGACTCATGAGCTGAACATATCGCTATATTCCATTCGACAAATATTGAAAAATGAGCTCGGGGTAAAGCCATTGAAATTCCAAAGAGTGCAAGTACTTACACCGCAGCAGAAAGAAAATAGATTCAAAAGAGCTAAACAGTTGCCGAACGTGGTGTACTGCTGAATTTGGTTTTCTCCGATGA